AAATGGGCACACTTTGGCAAGAGAGCAGAAGTTTCTCTGGCACGGGTAGTATTGTGATGTAAGGCTGTCTTGTTGGGGCTTTGGGAAAGACACTGCTTAGTGCTGAAGGGCTGGATTGGGAGACCTGGTTGCTCTTTTTAGCTCTGCCATTGTCCTGCTGTGTGACCTTGTGTTTCAATTCCCCCACTACCCATCATCTACCTTGACTTGAAGCTCTTTGAAGTGGCAGCTGTCTTTCACTGTCTGTGTGTCCAGCATCTGGCGCAGCAGGACCCTGGATGATGGTGGGGGTTTGAGCCTTTCCTGCACTGACTGGTGTTCATAAACCAGGAGCAGCCTGGTTTGGATCTTGGCAAGGGGATGGCAGCACTGAGTCATGGAGTGGGTCCCTGAGAGAGACACCTGGAAGAGGTGCTATGGAAGAGGCCTAGACATAAGAAGTGCTGTACTGAATCAGACCACCAACCCATCTAGCCCAGCAGTCTAACTCCAACAGTTGCAGTAGTAGATACTTTAGAGAGAAAGCATATGAATGGGGCATGTCTAGAATGATTCACCCCCTGTCATATCCTCCCTGGCATTAACCATCTTTGGTTTAGGAATGACAGGGGATACATCCATGACTTTTCTTTAAAAGCTTCCAATGGCTCTGTCCTCTGCAACCTCCTGCAGCAATGAGTTCCACAAGTTAACAATGTATTGTGGGCTACATCTTGTTTGTTTTAAACCTGCCTCTTGGTAGTTTTAGTGGGTACCCCCTACTTTTTGTATCATGGGACTTGGTGAATCACAATTCCCTGTTCACTTTGCCCACACCCTGAATGATTGTATAGACCTCTGTCATATCCCCTCAGCTCAGTCAAGGCATTTGCTCAATAGGAAGGCAGAGAAAGCATTTCAAGGATGTCCTTAAGGCCAGCTTGAAAAAATGCAATATTGACATCAATTCATGGAAGACTTGCCCAGGACTGCCCCAAATGGAAGAAGAGTCTGCTTCAGGGATCTCAGTACTTTGAAATCTTATGACGACAACAGGAGACAGAAAAGCAGAAGCAGCAGAAACAGTGTGTTGGGGACCGAAACAAGAATCCAGACCCACCCATCCCACATGGAAACACAAATTTATTGATCCTGGATCGGCCTCATCAGCCATCTTCAGACCCACAGATAAGGCACTCATGGAAGACAGTCATCCTTGACTGCAAAGGTTGCCGATGATGATCATATCCCCACCCAGCTTTTCCTTTCCAAACTGAAAAATCTGAGCCTTTTAACTCTCCTGGGATAGCACCTACCCTGCCCCTCCAATCATCTTTGCTGTTATTTTCTGGACATTTTCTAATTCAATTACCTCTTTTTTGAAATGTGGAGACCAGAGCTGCCCACAGCATTCAAGGTTGTGGTGCACCATGGGTTTATACAGGGGCATAATGGCATGTTCCATTTTGTTTTCAATTCCCTGTCTCTTTTTTGGTCACAGCTGTATATTGAGCTGATGCTGTTAGAGTACTCTCTACAATGACTCCAGGGTCTCCTGAGTGGTGACACTGTTCAGAGCCCAGCATTGTGTATGTGGAGCTGAGGTTATTTTTCTCCATGTCCATTACTTTTCACTTGTCAATGCTGAAATTCCTCTGTCACTTCATTGCTCACTCGCTTTGCTCTGGGAGACCTTCCTGCAGCTCTGCACCATCAACTCAGGATTTGACAGGAACAATTTAGCATCGCCTGTAAACTTTAGGATTTCATTATGCACTCCCTTTACTGGGCCATATGTTGAAGGAAACCAGCCACAGCACAGATCCCTGGGGGATCCCACGATTGACCTTCCTCCATCTGAAAAATGACCGTTTGGCCCAACCCTTTGTTTTCTCTCTTTGAACCATCTTCTGACCCATGAGAGGACCTTTCCTCTAATCCTGTTGCAACTCTGTTTTTAAGAGCCTTTGCTGAGGGACCTTGTTAAAAGCTTTTTGACATTCCTGGGGACACCAGCCCGGATCTATGCCCTCCCCAATCCATCTGGTTCCATGTTGGATCCACCTCCCCTCCTCTTGTCAATAGTTAGCTGCAGTACTGTCTGGAAGGAGCTGATGGGCAAGGGAAAGGTAGGGCTGTCTGGATGCACAGAAGGCAGAGGTCACCTGCCTTTGTGTCCTGAGACATTCTGGCTACTCCCTCCTGGGCTTCCTCCTTCTCCCCCCACACCCTGGCCAACCTGTGGCTATGGACAAAGCAGAACCTGTCTGCAAACATGGGGATTTTCCTACCTGCTGCCTAGGATCTCACTATCTGTGTGCTGGCTGGGGACTGGCTGCAGGTGGCTGCAGAAGGCAGCCCTTGTTGTCCTCCCATCACTCTTCAGTCCTGTGTGAAAGTCCCAGGGAGAGGTCTGTCTGGTCCTCCTGCCTGGCTAAGCTGGCTGTGAAGCTGTGTGGTGTACTGGTTGATATGCTCACGTGGGGAACAGCACAGAACAACCCCACCCCTCTCCTCACTTCCACTGTTGCCTGTCCCAGCCCCACCCACCCTTAGGGTCAGCCGGATCTTACCTGTGCTAGCAGGGGGTCCATCCCTCAAAGAGAGGTGCATAATGTTTCCTTGGTAATTTGCACATTAGCTTGTGTGTGTTCACGGGTTTTCACATAGCTGGATTATTATGTGTGGGCAGTGTGTGTGTGGAGATGCACATGTGCACAAAGTTTGGCTACAATGTATGCGTAGCATGTGTGCAGATAGCTGGGTGATTGTGCATTCAGTTTGCATGATTGTGCACAAGTGCGTGCCAGATTGGCCCTTGTGCAAACAGAGCTTCTACCTCTGCACACACCTGCTGCCCTGCCCCAATGGCACCCTTCAGGAATGGGAGTGCCTTGCTCTCACTTGCAGGTTCAAGCTATTCTAGGCAGGGTGGGATTATCCCATCACTTGGGTGCTCAGCACCTGCACGAGGGACTTACTTCTCTAGGGACCTTGGTGCTAGCCCCGGTGCTTGAAGCGATGGTGCTGTGTAAGGGGCTCCGGTATCCACTGCCCTCTGCCCACAGGTGTTTGTGAAGGCCCACTTTGACTATGACCCTGCCAGTGACAACCTGATCCCTTGCAAGGAGGCAGGGCTGAAGTTCACCGCAGGGGACCTGCTGCAGATTGTCAACCAGGATGACCCCAACTGGTGGCAGGTAAGGGAAGCAGGGGGGTCACCAATGCACCCTCCACTGGTTCCCTGGCAGGTGTGACCCTGGGTTGGCAGCAGCCCCTTGCCTTGGGTCTACTCCCAGATCCTGGTGAGGATCAGAGGGGGAGGCTGGTTGCTGAGACAGGCAGGGTTCGTGCAGCCTGTTTCCCCTGACCAGGAGCAAAGTGGGCTGCAGATGGGAACCTGGGGCTGCTATTTGTTTCATTATTGGGGCTGAAGGTCCTGCTGCTAATCAGCAGGGTCCTGCTGCTGGACAGGGCCCCATGAGGTGGGCTCTGGGGTGGGGCTGTGGGTTCCTCAGGGTGGGTATCCCCTGGGGAAGGGCTGGGGGTGCCCCAGGGTGGCTCACCGTGCCTGGGCATGTTGCAGGCTTGCCACGTGGAGGGCGGCAGTGCAGGCCTCATCCCAAGCCAGCTGCTGGAGGAGAAGCGAAAAGCCTTTGTGAAGCGCGACCTTGAAGTCACCCCCACATCTGGTACGAGGCCCCCTGAATCCAGCAGGCCTGGCACCTGGTCCCCTATACTTTCAGTTGCAGTGGGGAGCCAGGTGGCAGTGCCCAGAAAGTGCATTAACCTGCCCTACAGTGGCATTCCCTCCCCCAGTGCCACTGGTGAGAGGTAGGGAGGGAGTGGGGGGCCACAAGCTCTGGCTGTGTTCATACCCCTTCCCTGTGTAGAAAGCCCCCCACATGGCAGTGCCTGATCCCCCCTGCTCCATCACCTGGGCAGTGTGGTGCATGGCTGAGCCAGTTCATTCTCTGGGCAGGAGCTCTGTGTGGCAGCATCAGTGGGAAGAAGAAGAAGAGGATGATGTACCTGACGACGAAGAATGCTGGTGAGTACCCCCGTCTGCGTCCCTGTCTCTGCTGCCAGGCACTCAAGCTCTATCAGCCTTCCCCCAGCCCCATGCCCCAACCATGTTTCACCCAGAATGCCTCCCCTGATGCCCCACAGTGGGTTGATGGTGGTGCTGATGTCCCCCACACCAGTACTGGCACCATGTGTGTGTAGTGGTCCCCTACCCTTGTGCAGGGGCTGTTGCACAGAAAGTATCCCTGTGATGCAGCACCAGGCCCATGATGTCTTTGATGGGGCAGATAGGGGCACTGTGGGGGTATAATATCTCTCTCCTTGTTAGGGAAGAGGGGGGCTCTGCATTTGCCAGGCCTGACTATACTCCCTTCCTCCTTCCCCACTCAGAGTTTGACCGGCATGAGCTGCTGATCTACGAGGAGGTGGCACGCATGCCCCCATTCCGCAGGAAAACCCTGGTGCTGATCGGTGCCCAGGGGGTTGGACGACGCAGCCTCAAGAACAAGCTCATCATGTCTGACCAGGCGCGCTACGGCACCACCATCCCCTGTGAGTATGGGCAGCCTGGGCACACCCCCTCTGCCCCTTCCCTGATAGGTCTTCCGTCCAGGTACCACATTCGGAGGTGCTGTGCCACAGGGTGGTGTAGGGGATGCTCCCCCCTTCCAGTCATATTGCCGTAGGGTCTCAGGGTCAGCGCTAAGGGGTGCTGTGCTGCACGTGGGGGCTCTGTGGGGGTGCTGTCTCCTCACTGTCAGTGCTGACCTCAATGTTCCAGCCTGTGCTACGGGACACTGTGCTGCAGGGAGCCAGCTAGAGACACAGTGAGACAGAACAAAGCCTTGCTGCACAGAGGGGAAACTGAGGCACAGAGAGGTAAATGGCTTCCTCAAGGTCTCACAGAGAGGCTGTCAGATCAGGGAGTAATCCCAACTTCTTTGCTGATACCCTACGCACAGGTCTCCCTCCTCTTCAGGGCTGCCTCTCAGGGCCAGGCCAAGCCATGTGAAACAAAATGAGCAAACAACTATATACACCCCCCATGTCAGCCATCATGGGAGCCTGCTGTTCTGGCAAATCAGAGCTACATCAGGTGCTGATGGACAGCTGGCAGCATTCCCATGTCTGTGACCTGAAAGCCCAGGGCTAGCAAATGCTGGTTTCAGTAGAGGCAGGTGAATGCTATAGGTTCCAGTCCCTCTCAGGTGGCGAGGGCTGTTGGTTATGGGGGATAACCAGTTTTTAGGACACGTGGCATAGTGGGAGAGTCTGTGTGTGCATCTCTGTGTTTATGTATGCCCATACTTGTGTGTCTGTGTGTGCATATCATATGACTTCCTCCAGCTGGGTGTGTTTGTGAGGGACCCCGTGTGTCACAGTTGTGAACTGTGTGTGATGTGCACCTGTCTTAGGGTGTGCCTGGTGCAGGGTGTCTGGGGTGAAGGGACATGGCTAACATGTTCCAAGGTAGCAAAAGGAAGGGGCTGGGCAGGGGGAGAGCTGGCATTGATGGGCACTGGGTTTAGTTGGTCATATTCATGATGGTGGATGAGGCTTCGGCAGTCTGCCCCTTATTTCCTGATTCTGACTCCTCCTGGGCTGACCCTGCAGTGAGTACAGGGCCCTGTGACTCTTATGTGTCTGGGGTGTGAGATACAGTACCAGCCCTGGGCAGGCAGATGCAGGAAGCTCACCCCATGCACAGCCTAAGCTCAGAGAGGTACAGAGGGATTTGCAGTTGACTCCAGGATGAACATGAGCCACCAACGCAAGGAAGAGGTCAATAAGGCTAACTGCACCTTGTCGTACATCTACAGATGCATCACAAGCAGGTCCAGGGAGGTGATCCTTCCCTTACATGCAGCATTGGTCAGGCCACAATTGGAGTATTGCGTCTAGTTCTGGGCACTGAACTTCAAGAGGGATGTGGCTAGCATTGAGAGGGTCCAGAGGAGGGCCACTTGCATGGTCAAGGGGCAGCGGGGCAGGCCCTACGAGGAGAGGCTAAAGGGCCTGAACCTATTCAGCCTCCGCAAGAGAAGGCTAAGAGGGGGTCTGGTGGCCGTTTACAAACTCATCAGGGGAGACCAGCAAGAATTAGACCCTAAGCACTATGGAACTATGGTGCCAATCGGTGGGTCCCAGGACTGGAGCTGTGTGGGTCTGCAGTACTGGTTCTGCCCCATATAGTATGGGTTATACATCTCAGAGCTGGTCTGTGAGTCCTAGCACTGGAGCTCTTAGGCCCTGTGTTCCCAGCCTGATCCCTATTTCTGAGTCCATGGTAGCCAGATTCAAGGCATGGTATTGGTGTCTCCCTTGGCAGACACATCACGGAAGCCCAAGGACAGTGAGAGGAATGGACATGTGTACTGTTTTGTGTCCCGGGGTGAGATGGAGGCAGACATCAAAGCTGGCCGGTACCTGGAGCATGGGGAGTATGAGGGCAACCTGTACGGCACCAAGATCGACTCCATCCATGAGGTGGTAGAAGCTGGCAAGATGTGCATCCTGGACGTGAACCCGCAGGTATGGGCCCTGCACCCCTGCATGCACTGGCGGGGAGCTTGGGGCTGTGCTGTGACAGCCTTGGAGCTGAGCACTCGGCATCTGGGGTCTGGGCTTCCTCCACCCGCCTGACCACAGCACCCCACCATGACTAGGGAAGGTGGAGGTGTAAGAAACCAGGACATAGGCAGTCTTGCCTAATGGTTAGGCTATTGAGGGAAAGCAGGGGCCCAGGGCTGGGTCAGAGGACAGAAGATATTATCAAAGCCAGAGGAAAATCCAGGGGCAGAGTCCACAACACAATCCAGAGGCAGGATCTGGGATCAGATGCCAAGTACCAATTTGAGGGACAATCCACAGGGCAAAGGACAGAGCCAAACCAGGGTCAGGAACCAGGAAACAGCCACAGGGAAATCCAAAGCTGAAGTCCACAAATAAGCCAAAACCAGGATCAAGAGCCAGGAAAACCAGAGTGTCGGGATGGAACCAGGAGGCTTGGCACAACAGAGCTAGATCAGAACGATTGAGTGCCCTGCAGACCCAGGGCCCCGGCTGGTGCTGTATGGATAGGCAGTGCTGCTAGCAGCTAATCAAGATGCTCACTTCCTACATTGAGTCCATTAGCTGAGGCTCACTGCAGGTGTGGCTGCTGAGGTACTTGGCCCAGTCTGGCCTGCCTGAGTGATCAGTCCCTGACAAGAGGACAGCTTGGCTTCTGTGGCCTCTCCTACACATGGCCTCTTCACTGAATCAGTGATACCTGGGGCACTTAGTTTATTGCAGTGTGGTCCAGAAGAGGAGGGCCCAGCCATGGGGCCAGATGCATCTGACCCTCAAGAGCTACTTGGACAAAGGATGGGAGGGGAAACTGAAGCAGAAGTGGGGAAGTGACAGAGCCAGACTCAAGTGTCCTAATTCCTGGTCCCAGGCTCTGCCTGTGGGCCCCAGCTGCCTCCTCAGTGAACCATTTCCTCCAGGTTGTTGAAGCCCCACCAGGTGGCACTGGGTAATGTCCCTCTGTGTCAGAACCAGTAGCCTAGGGTGAGTGGCCTTGGGTCCTGTCCCAGCAGTCACACTGTCCAGCCACCCCCCCAGGCATGTCTATTTAGAAGTCTGTTCTGAGAGGCTCTCCTGGTGTCTGTCCAGGCAGTGAAGGTGCTGAGAACAGCTGAATTCGTCCCCTACGTGGTCTTCATTGAAGCCCCAGACTATGAGACACTCCGAGCCATGAACAAGGCAGCGCTGGAGAGCGGCGTGGCCACAAAGCAGCTCACGGTGAGCACAAGCCAGCTCCTTCCTCCTCTTGTTCCAGACCACTGCAGGGTGCCATGAGGGTAGAGACCACAATGCCTTCAGAGGTAGCCTGGCCCAGTCCCTGTCCTCAGCCCCTGGGGCACCAGCCATGGCCAAGCGAGGGCAGCTCCAAGTTCCTGGACATGTGTTGACATTCGCCAACACCTCTGCGCATAAGTACATGTGCCACATGCTCTGAGTTAAGGGCTTTCTCCATCCCTCTGTTCCTTTTTGGTATAGTCTGTGGCCCCTTTAGGCTGCAGAGCCCAGCTCCAGGATGGCTCCTTGATGGAGCCACCTCAGCCACCTACACAGTGCAGTCCATTGTGGCCTGCATGGCCCCCAGGCATGGCACTTCCTGTGGGATCCCTTCCTTCAGCTGGTACTACCACTTGCTATGGGGAATGGTGCCGCAGGAAGTTACCATCTGAGCTCAGCTGCCCTCTGTAGCCAGGCTGCCGTGCCTCAGGCTATGGTTCCAAACTGAATGGGCTCAGGCTGGCATGGGCAGTCCCTTAGGGAGGCCAAAGGCACTGCCAGAGCCCTGATGGTGGCTCGATAGGCATGCTCATGCCTAGGGGTCCTTGCTGCCTGCAGTGCCCTGGGGTGGTGCTAGTTGCTCTGGATGCCCAGTCAAAGCCAAAATGCTGGTGGTGAGTGGTCACTACATTCCCCAGGATGCATTTAACAGGCACGGAAGAGTGCTTGCCTCTGACCCTGGCTAAATAGCTGTTTACTGTTTATAGTAAGTATATAGCTTGGTAGTGCTGGGTGATGCTCTGTTGTACTAGGCACTGTGCAGGCAGATGCGCTTACTGACTTAGCTCATTATAGTCTTCCCCCTTAAATTTTCCATCAGTGCTCAGTGGGGTACAGAATTCTTCTTGGCCTAAAGACTGAGTAATGTTATTTCATAGCATTAAAACAGCTGCTGTGCTCCTCCCCGGAGGTAGCTGCCTCTCAGCTGTGGGATCCCTGTGTAAACAGCTGTAACTGCTCCACAGAGGCAGCTGCCTTTCAGGGTGGGTGAAGTAGTCTCTGCAGCGCATGCTTTTTTGCTTATATTTGCAAAATGTTCTCCCTGAGTTCTTTTCCACCCCACTGCTGCTCTTGCTGCTGCCCTTCCCTCCTTCCCCACAAGCTGTAAGCTCATTACCCTGCACACACAACTCAGGTAAGGAGCTGGAATGCTGCAGCAGGGGGGCTAACGGGCTGCTTGTGCCTGGGCAGGAGGCAGATCTGAAGCGGACGGTGGATGAGAGCTGTCGGATCCAGCGCAGCTACGGCCACTACTTTGACCTCAGCCTCATCAATGACAACCTGGAGCGGACATTTCAGCAGCTGCAGGAGGCCATGGAGAAGCTGCGCTCCGAGCCGCAGTGGGTCCCTGTCAGCTGGGTGTACTAGGCAGTCAGAAGAGCCTGCAGTGGCAGCTAGTGCCTCTCCTGCCTGACCCTACACTAAGGGCATTACTGACCCGCTGTTAACCTTCATCCCCTGCCCACACTGGAATCGATGTCTCCCAGCCAAGGACTCCAGACCCCCTGCCTGCATCCCAGCCCTGTCCTCGGAGGAGCTGCTGTCCTGGGGGCTGCCACTAGGGTATGTGGGAGGGAGGGTTCCAGACACTTGTTTCCTGTCTCCTTCCCCCAAGTTGTAGAAAGTTTTGCTTGTTTCAGGCAATCTTGTCAGGGCACCCCCTGCGGAGGCCACTGCTGCCCTTGGCACAAGGGTGGGAGACAAGGCCCAGTACCCTTTGGGGAAGGCTAGGGATTGGATGGGGTGGGTCACAGCAGCATGGAGCCAGCCAAGGAAGGGCAGAGCCCAGAACACAAAGCACAGCCACTTTAGGGCCAGGAGCGGGCACTGAGGACACCTTCCAGCTCCCCTCATGGGGCACCCTTTAGCTCTCGTAGTGCCCAGCCCATGGCTGTCCAGCCTGATGCTGCCCAGCAGGAAAACCAGCCCCTTTCACAATGCTACTGTGCCAGGGAAGTGGGTGTTAGGATGGCAGGAGGCAGTATGCTGCAGAAGGTACATGAAGCTGGCAATGCCACCTGTCCTTCCTGCCCTGCAGGTTTTCCCTGCCTCAGCTATCCAGTAGCCCTCCCTGCACAGCTCTCTCTGGCTGCCTTCCCGGGAGCCTGAGCTACCCATTCTACACAGAAGGATCCTTCTGGCCATCTCTCTCTGGGCAGCTGAGGTGGCTCTCAGCTGGGCTTTCAGGACCATCTCCCCTTTCCAGGGTTGATCTCACTAGGAACCAAGTAGCAAAGGAACAAACCATGTTCCCAGACACCTTCCTTCACCTTTTCCCCACTGAGCCCAAGGGTGCAGGCAGTGGGTGGGGTGAGGTGGGGTGACTCCCACCCCAGATTTAGGAGTCTTTCTTCAGGAGTTGCTGGGCTTTGTGGCCCACTGACCATGGGGAGGGGAAACAAGGCCACATGTGATGCAGGCATGGGATGCTTAGCTGATCCCCTGGCCCGACTAGCTCTCCTGTCCTGTCAGAAGGTGAGGAAAAGAGCATTTGGTTTTAGAGGAAAGGTCCTGGGAGACCAATCACACCCCCAGCCAGTGGCAGCCCCTGGATGTGCACCCTGGGGTGCCGTGTTAGTGAGGCTGTGGGGCCCATGCCAGGAACAATGCCGCGACCAGTGACCAAACATTGCCACGTGCCCTGCCCTTGCTGCTCCTGAGAAAGCCTGGTCCTGACTCCTCTGGAATGGGCCCATTTGGGATGATCCAGAGCCCCACCTTGGAGCGTAGGCAGGGTCTTCTCCTCACTGGATTCCCCACCCAGGGGAACTTCCAGCTCACCCAGCAAATGCACAGCTATCTCACTGCCGAAAACTCGCCACCAGTGACTGACTGACCCCCTCTGCCCCTGCCTCCTGAAACATGCCTGGCTGATGGAGGGATGTTGCCTATGGTTTTCCTGATTGCACAGAGCTCCCAGTGATAAAGAAGTGGCCTGTCCCAGCTGGATGTCATGTCAGGATCGCTGCAAGGGGAGTTGTGGCACCTCTGGAAGTAAATGGATAGAGCTAAAGAATGCAGCCCTGAGGAAGGCCTTGCAGTTCCAGCCCTGGAAGTCTGGGTTCTGCTCCCAGCCCGCTTGGGCAAGTTGTGTGATGGTAGACTTTGTGTGCCTCGGTTTCCCCACCTGCTGTAGGGGCAGGGTGAAGCTGCATTTCTTGATGCCTATGGAGTGCAGCAGTGCTATTTTGATGCCGGGGTTATAGCTGAGTCATAGGGACCCCAAAGGCAGGCCTAGTAAAGGGGCTAGGGTTTGTAAAGCAATAGCAAGGTCATAATTGCACTAAATCAAGACCATGGTGATTTTAAACAAATGCAGAGGACCCGTTTACAAAATCTGAGCTTGAAACCTTCCACACTCATAGGACCCCTGGCTCTGCTTGAGGGGGGGGTGAGGGAGGGGGGAGTATGGACAAAAATGTCTTCATGATTCAGAACCATGGCAAAGAGGTCAACAAGAAGATAGAGCAACCTGCCAGACCCAAGCACTCGCTTCCTCCTTCAGTGCCGAGTGACCCTGCCTCATCAGGTGGTGAGACTCACTGCTCTGCTTCACTGTCACTCCTAGAGAAGTGCAAAGGCAAGCAGCTGAGCAGAAGGATGGAGGGAGCATCAGTCATAAAGGGAGGGCAAACACTGCTTTAATGCCTTTCATCTGGCACGTTTCTGTAACACTCCCCATGTGCACAGTTATGCCTGTCTTTGCTGACCTGCCCCCGGCCATTTGATTGACAGGGTTTTCTAGGCCAGGTGTCACCATCACTATTGCCCTCACGTCATTCCTGCAGCCCCTGGAGGGCCTCAGATGCTGGGTGCTGTGCAGACACAGTCAGACCAGGCTGTACCCTAAGACCCAGCTGGTCTGACTGGATAGGGAGTGGCAGGGACACAGGCATTGAAAAGGGAAGGGACTTGCCAAAAGGCACACAGTAGCTTGCTGGCAGAGCCAGGAGGAGAACACTGGTCCTACTCTGTCACTAATAGGCCATGTGCCCTCCCCAGGATTTCCATGGCTGACTGCCAGCCCTGGGGCCCTGCCTCCACTTCTAAGCCCTGGGCTTTGCATCTCTCACGCAAGGACTGACCACAACTACCTCATGCACCAAGGCAGCTCGCGTGGCATCGGCCATCACAGGGCAGAGGCAGAGCCCAGACTGGGGCCTTGGCACGTGGGTGAGGAGGCATAGCTTGGTGCTCGTCACCTGTAACCAGCTCTCCCACTTGTCCCTCGCCTGGGGGTGTGAGGAGGCCCAGAAGAACCACCAGGCCCCAGACCTGGACCCTGCTGGCATCAACATGAGGACTCCTGTGGGCTCAAGTTGCTGTCAGGCTGGGGTGCTTGACTGGCAATGACAAGGGCCTGATTTTTAGAGGTGTCGACTATTTGGAGTCATGATTTCTGATCCCTCTGGCTGTCCATCAGTCTATCTCTTCACCCATCCCTCTCTCCCCATCTCTCTCCATCCAAGCATCCCCATGCATGTAGTCAATCTGTCCACCCACCCATGTACCCTGCACCCATCTGTCTGTCTACTGAGTTCCCTATCTTTAACCACTCGCCCATCACCCATCCAGATCGTATATACCTCTGTGAACATCTGTCTGTCTGGCTATCCAAGTAATCCTATGTGCTCCTGTACCTCACTTGCTTTCTGTCTGTCTGATCTCTCCCTCACAGTCCTTTACTACATTCATTTCAAGTCAGGCACCCAACTTAGGCCTGAAGGCTCAGCCACAAGTACAAGGAGGACTCCTCTACCCTTACCCTTTCACTCTGCAGGACCTCCTTGGCCTTCAGTGCAGCACTCTGGGGGAGGAGTCCTCAAACCATCTTTATCCATGCTCCAAAAAATCTCCCTTCCCTGAGCTATTTAAATGTCCACTCTCCAGCAATACCCATGCTCTTGTCTCTACCCTCTGAAAGTCCCCCAAACCATGTGTAGAGATCCCCTCCACCCGGGAGGGTGGATTTTAACTGTGTAAGATAGTAGCTGTAATACTGAAAAGCTCATTTATGTACCATGTTTTAAAGAAAACAATAATGCTATATATTTAAAGAGAAGAAACTTCCATAGATACTTGTGTGTGTGTGTCTGTGTGTGATGGAATTGGGTGAGTGCAGAGACAGCAGTGCCCAAATAAAGCATCCCAGCTGTGGAAGGAACCATCTTAGGTCCCTCCAGTTCTGGACAGCCTAGATGGTGAAACGCAGATCTTGGGAACCAGAGGAGGTTTCTTTGGGGCTTTTTCTTGAGTGTGTTCAGTTGTTCTTTGTGTTCTTACCGAAGATTGTGAAAGATTGAAAAGACTTGCAGCTGGGATAATGCAAAGGGCTTGCTTTTCTGTGAAAGCCCACATGCTTGGCTCTTCAGGTCATCAGATCTCAGTAGCGAGCGTGGAGCTTTTGGGGACTGGGGCCTGTAACAGTTGTGCACTGTTCCCTCCACTTGACTGGAGGGAAGTCAAGTGGTTCCTTGTCTCAATAAGTAGTTTGCAAGTCTGAAGCAGAGCACAGGTGGTATGCGAGAACGGAGCTGTGAGCGAGGGGCTGCATCTTTAAGTGTGCCCCCCACGAATGTTTGTCTCTGCCTCTGGACATCAGTGCATATGTACATCTCTCTGGTTTTGTGTGTGTATTCCTACATGAGAACGTTTCTGTGCCCATCCCAGTGTTTCCGACTCTCACATTTTTATTCCAAGAATTATAGTATTTGATGTCTTTCTCAACGCTCCAGCTCTGGAGTCAGAGGTCAAGGCGAGAATCTCAGCTTTATTTATTTTTTTAAATAAGTTTCTACTGCTCGTCTTTGTGGAGAAACACTTGCAAACCCAAACACCTTTAGGCAAGGATAAGGAGCCCCACAATTACAAGTTTTAAAAACACATCGTAAGTTCTGTAAGCCAAATCATGATTTAGAACATTTGGGGTTAGTAACCCTTAAGTCCGTGTGTGTGTGTGTGTGTGTGTGTGCGCGCGCACACATGCATGCACCCATATTCACATGCATGTGAGTGTTCGCGCGCGCGCGCGTGTGTGTGTGTGTATGGGGACCTCTGATGATAAGTCCCTTCTCCGCATATTTTACGCTTGCTCTTTGGAGTTGTTTTTCAGGGACTGTCTTTAGCCTCTTTCTTACTTCCCATTGAAGAGTGGTAGTAACATGGATTCAGGACCTGTGCCCATTGTCTCTACTGGATGTGTCACTAGGACACATCAGAGGAGACAGCCCTGCCAGGCCTGTGCTTGCAAGGGGAAAGACCTGTTCTCATCTCTGTATTCCTTCCTAGTGAGTGTGGACTTTCTCTTCCCTTCCTCACTTCTCTGTGATGCTAGGTTTTTTTTAAACCTTCCTTTATAGATGCTTCATGTCAATATTGAGTAGAACAGAGCTGGAAACTGGGCTTTTTTTCCCCTTTCCTGTCTTTACTCTCATTTTATTCTTGGTGACTTTTGGTCATTTATTTACCCCCAGCCACTTGGTCCCCTTCGCATCTCATTCTCAGCCTCGTGTCTAGTGCAGGGCCAAGCTGCGTGGTGCCCTGGTGCACTGGTGTAGCCACGTGTGTGTTAGAAGCTAACTAGAATCGGTTTATTAGTGCTATGTTAATTTGTCTGTGGATCGTAGTAGAGTTTTTCCCAGTCTCTTGTGTTCTAAGTCTGGCCTGCCCTGCTACCCCTCTGTGCTGCCCAGTCTTCTGTGTGTATATGTGTGTGTGCACGTGCATGTGTGTTTGTGTTTGTGCACATATATGTAGCAGTCCTGATCCACAGGCCTCCCCTTGTGATGATTCGGCTCCAACTCCTTGCCAGACTGGGCTAGTGGGGATGGAGATGACCCATTTACTGGGTGTATGCAAACCTAGTTTGTAGCTGGGGTTGGGAGAAGGATGCAGACCCCTCCACCCCCCACACTTTTCCCCCATCCAGTTGATAGCCAGAGCCCGGGAGGTGCCCATCTCTCAGCAAAGTCAATGGGAACAGGATACTCAGTTAGAGGTGCTTGGTGCCTGGCCTTACTAGGTGCTATCATGGGGCTGGCTTGTTGAAACACCCCTTCCTGGGGTGGGCTCTGTTCCCTCCCCTTCCTCCCCAGTGGTGAGGTGGAACTAGGTGATGGCCGGACCAAGGGAAACCTAGATGTGGACAGTGAATGTGACATTTTCTTTCCTAGCAAACCTGTCTTTTGCCCTCAAGGGACCATCATGGCCTTTTTCCAGGTGATGGGGTCATCAGGGGGAGGGGAAGTTACCTAGAATCCACAGATGGCTGCATGGCCCCCTCTGCCCTTCCTGCTCCTTATGTCCAATACAGGAAAGCAGAGGGTCCCTTGTTATTTTCCCAGCAATCAGGCCATTGGATTTGGCTTGGTTGTGGGTGTCCCTGGGAGAATGTGTGGCCTGGCTCCCTGCTTCCATGGGTGCTGGTTGTTCCTATCAGGGAGGTCAGTGCTGTCCACTCCTCACATCCATGGTCTGCTGTGGGCTTTAGCAGCTTGCCCTTCGATTTGTACCACAGCGCTTTGCTAGCGGCAATCTTGACAGAGCAGGGGGCACCTGCCCTCCCCCCATATGAATGCGTCTCCCTTCTCTTCAGGCAGTTTGGGGTTGGATTATGCCCCTATTCTGCCATAATCCCTGTTTGGGAGCTGCTTGTCGCCAAAGCGGGGGAAGGCTGGCATTGATATTGATGCCTGGAGGCATCAAGTAAGTCCTTAACCCTAAGATGTTGTTGGGCCTCTGCCCA